ATGTACGATCACCAGACTGAGTGCACCGAGGCAACAACAGAAAGTAAAACAATGTCTACAACAACAACAATACACACATATGCATACATATATAACCGTATGAGTAGTTCAGGGTCTGTTTGTTTTCCTTCACGTGTGCTTTCCAGTCAAGTCTGATGGGAGCCATGCCCCAACACCGCCTCTATCCCTGGGGACCTCACCACTCTGCTCAGCCCCCTGCTCTGATGCATGCCCCCAGAGGCTGGCGTTCAGCGTGGTGAACTCATGGCGGGCACATTTCCCGCTGTGTGTCTCCAGTGCTGTCCCCAGTGGTGCGATGGGTCAACGAGGAACACGGTGTCCCGTGGTGGGGCCGGCCCCGTGGTCATGTCCGTGCATCGCTGTTCCGAACAGGCACATTGTCCCCAGGGCTCAGGGAGCCAGGGTGTGCTCCACGCTTTCCTTTTCTTCCCCTTGCCCCCTCATTGGCTCCCATGCGCTCTGACCTGACCATTCCCCCTTACCCTCTTCCCAAGCTGCAGCTTCTGTGCTGTCCTCTGAAGTGAATTCCCCCTGGGGGAGGGTGGTGCCATACACCCAGTTGGTAGTGGGGCCGGTCCCTCATGATTCCTAAATTTTTGTTGAGCTCGATGAACCGGTTGTTAAAATGGCCCTTGTAATCAGGGCCACTGTAATCTCAAGTGGGTAGCTGGGCAGCTGCCCTATGTGGAAATCAACAATTTACATTCCTTACTCCTTTGTGAATGTTCATCTGCAGAACAGAGTCTTCTAAGCACCCAGAGTAATGTTCACTCATCCCTAGCAACAATCCTTGTAATATTTATTTATTTATTTCATAAAACTTGTACTTTTGATGAAAACAATATTTTTATTGTCTTGCATTTGTTACTTCAGTACAATATGCAAATAATGTAAAGAGGGAAAAGTGCCAAGCAACCAGAGGGTGACATGCTGTCACTCGTGGGGTACATCATTTTTTATACATAAAACGGTCATTAGGACAGCTAATCTTATTAAATTACTTGAATCCCCCCACTCCCCTGATATACAAATATATGAAAACTCTTTAGTCTCACTTACCTGAAAAAAAGTATTAAAGAAAAGGGCAAGCACCATTTTCCCCATCAAATAAACAACAACAAAAATGTTTGTAGGTGATATATAAGACGGATATAAAAACTAAAATTAAAAGGATATGAAGATATCTACCTTCTATCTATCTAACCTCTGAAGATAGACATTTATAAAGTGTCAAAAACATTTCTAAAAAACAATGATGTAATATATGTAGAGAATAAGAAAACTGTTCACGGCCAGTAGTTCTCATAAGAATCCAAACTAATGAAATAATATGAGACATTAATTTTTACAAAACTCATTGATATAAAATGCTTGGGTTTGTGTGTGTATGTGTGTGCGTGTGTTCATCAAGGGTTTCACAACAAAAGTGGAAATAACTTAAATCTACAACAGAAAATATTAAATAGCTCTTTCTAGCCAGCACCCAGTGATGGTCATCTCTGAGAACAACTGGCAAATGTCACAAGATGGGGACAAGAGAAAACCCTACCCCAAGAAGCAGAAGTATGAGTTGGAACACCCACCTGGCTGCCAACATTAAGACTGGCCCTGCCACAACCACACAGTTGCGTGAAAGGAAGTGCAGGACCCCCTGAGGCTGGACGTGGAGAACGACTCCTGGGCCTCCGAGTTTCTACAAAGCATCCAGCAGCAAGCTGGTCTGCATCCAGACCCTGGTGAAAACTGCAGCGAGCTCCTTGACAGCCAACCTTCCGGCCAGCAGTACAGTCCATTATGCACTGCCTCTGGGCCGTGAGAAGGGGGCTAAACTGACACATGAAGAGGAAAACATGTGACATAAAAAGTGATCCAAGAAAATCCAGAAGAAATATGATGAAAGGAAAAACAATGCAAAAATCGGAGGTGTTCTGTGGGGCGAGCTTCTTTGGGGTGTCATTTCGAGACCAGGCCAGACTGGTAGAGCAGATGGCTCTGTGCTGGAGGGCAAGGGGCTGGAGTTCTTGCTGAGGACAGTCAAGGCTGGAAAAGGCAAATAAATCCTCTCATCCTAGTACATGTATTAAAGGGGTTTATTCTTTAAAGAAAGAAAAAGAAAACATCAAGTAAATATGATGCAGTCACTAAATTGAATACATTTGTTGCTGTATAATTTGCACATATTTCTACACACCACAGATTTATGTAAACACTTACATGAATGGAAAACTTTATATACAAGAGCAGTTAAATATTGAGAAAACATCCAAGCCCAGTCCAATCAAGTCCATAATCCTATAGTAGCCCATATGTCCGATACCAATCTATAAAGTCCTCTTCAGACTCATAGAACATATGCAATGATGCCGAATGCAGGAAGATCACAGGCCAGTGGGTGAAGTCTTGTGGGTCCAGTGGCATGGCAAGCCTCTCAGCACTGGCAGGGGTCTCTGCTTCTGCATAGCTCCTACAGTTCCCAGGGCACGGGGTCTATCAGCATAGTGCCATGTGTCTTGTAAGTAGAGCATCTCTCAGGGAGTGAGCAGAGAGAGAGTGTGTCTCCCACCTCCAGGGAGGAAAATACAAGAATT